ATAGGTTATTTCTCAGCCTAATCTGAACACTGATTCCATCCAGGCTATGATTAAAGAGTTAAAGAAAAAACATAGGCCTTTCTTAAGCTGCACACCTACCAAAAAAAGTACAAACTTTAAGTCTTCTTTACAGATTTTGAAAAAAAAAAAAAAAAAAAAAAGGAAATTACAGTTAATCAAAAACTCTAGAATCACAGCCACTCATAGCAGAAATGCATCTCATTGGTGATCTTATTCCTGTAGACACAGGATGGGCTTCTGCTCATCAGCTTTAAACTGTCAAGGTAGGAATGTTGTGTAAGGTGTTTTTTTAGGCTCTCTTAACAGTAATGGCCAGCACCTCTAGAGTCCATTTCATCACATCTATTAATGTCTTCTAACATATAGTCATCTAATATCTATTAGTACCTGCAAATAATTCCTCAGGGATGTTTCTTTCTTCATTTACAGTAAAGGGAATCAAGTCTCAGCTGAGAGCAGATGCTTGCCTATTAAATTGTTAGAACTGAGTGTGGTGGTTGCTATCTATGACATCTTTCATCCCTTGAAAGAATGAAATGTGGGATGGGACTGTACTAGGCTGTTTGCAGAGAAAATGGCTCTGTCTACATTAATGTTTTAGCTCACCGTGGGACTGTATTTCTCTGTCAAATCAGCCCCATTTACTATGCTGTGTTTCACATTATAGAGCAGCTTAAAGTATACAAACTTTCTGATGATGTTAAGTGGAAGATACACTCCCAGGCAGCATCTAAACCACAATTTACAGCTATTCCCAAATTGCCCCCCTTTACATGTATACTGTGAATGTTGGAGCCTCAGTACCAACTGTTCCGCTCTGCAGAACCATTCCTATTAGGCTGCACTGCTTGCCAACACATACAAAGACACCTGATTCAGATCAACTCTGTGTTTCAAACTTGCTCATTAAAAATAAAAAGTAAGTATGATGGAGATTTTATGTAAATATGAAGGAGAAACTAGCAGAACTGTACACCATGGAATAAAGGTTGTGCTCATGCTGTTCAGGTTGCAGCTGACTAAGAGGAAGGGGCCATTGATTCCAAATTCTCTGAGTTTCCTTTTGCTGCTCCTTTGCCATGCCCTCATTTTGCAAAACTTAAAAGGGTTTTGTTCTCTTGACATGTTTTTTTCATAATAAGTCAGGTTGATTCAAACACTGTAATAGTGAGTTGAATTGTGGATTGTGTTGCCACTCATCAACATAAAAAATCCTTCAGTAAACAATCTCACCCCTCAAAACCATGTACGATCAGCTAAAAAATACAGAAGATCTTTATATTTTTTATTTACCTGCTGTATTTTGTGCCTTTGTGATTCATGCTGGCAGGTTTCTGGACAACAGTGGTCCTGAGAAAATACCCATTTTCCCAAATTAAAGCTGAGATTTTCAAGTAATCACTGGCTCAAGCAGTCAAAATTTAAGCAAGCCGTTCAGTTTACAGGCAGATTTCAAACAACACAAAACCCAAAACTTTGGCCATTCTCTTGACCTACTGAGTGTCAGTCCTGTTAAGCCTGGCACCTGGGGATTTTCTTGTGTGGGTAATGCAAATATGTGAAGGAGAAGAAAGTCTGTGTAGTGGGGTCTGTTGGAATACTGGTATTCCAGGCCATTTTATGAGGCTGGGCTAAGACTGTTAAGTCTCTGAAGCCAAAGCCTAAGGCAGTTCTTGTTGCATGCTGGAAGTTTTTTGGAACATTTTGGCTAATCATGGCAATAGCCTTACTACTCTTGATTTTCTAATAAGAATTATAAAATATTACAAGCTGGCTGGTTTTCTAGTTATTTGTGTTAAAGTTACAATCTGGTTTTAATCATTATTTTAAAAGGAAAAAAGGATACTGGGAATTACTTCTGGTATTTGTCAGTTGTACCCATGTTGCATTTTTAAGCATTTCAGCAAAACTGATATTATAATAGGAATGGTGTTTATAAAGACACTTATATTTCTGTTAAACAACTGTGCTGGGTCTTAAATGACAAGAAATTTTATCTAGCACATGCCAAAGGCATGCTGAAGATTTTTCCAACAGTTCTGATTCATCCCCTGGAATTCAGTTTTCTTAGAGATACAATATAGACAATAAGTTTATTAAGTCAGCTGTTTTATTATTCATTGCAATAAAGAGATTATTCTTCTAGAACCCTCAGCACAACTGTTTCTGCATTGTAAAGCCAAACAAGACTGATTACTGCCAGAATTAATGAGACTTTCTATACCCATATGCCATATAAACTGTAATTCATCTGCAGTTTAATCACTAACTAAAAATTCAGAACTGAGACAGAACTCAGTTCAGTGATTCCTTGCAGGCTGTGTTCCTGTGTCAAACCCTTACACAGAAACCTGGAAGACAAGAAGCTTCCACAAACACACACATTCTGTGCAGCCATTAGAGAACAGGATGAGTGCAGAGTGTGCTGCTCTGCCAAGACTTCTCCCATGGGACAGAGATGAGCAAAAACCTCAAGCCCACTCTGGTGTCACTGCAGTGCCGAGGGAATGATTACTTTGAGAAACTTTCCTTAGCAATAAGTATTTTGTCTTTAAAACTTGCACAGGTTCTGTGAAATTAAATAAATCCATTAGGTTTTTATAAACATTTCTTATAAATAGGTAATCATTGGATAGATTAAGTCCTGTGTTCTGAGGGACAGAAATAATCTCTGTGCCACTTACAGAAGATCCCCAGAAAAATGGCTGACAGCTTTTCTAGAAGGAAGAGGAGGAGGTGTGGGTCACTGTGTCATTCAGAAAAGTAATTTACCTTAATTTTTCCTTCTTATCTATAGGGATCAAAGTATTCTACAAAATAAAACAGCCATGTTATCACCATTTAATATCTAGGAAATCAAAGCACAGAAAACGAACCCAGCTTTCCTGAAACCTGATGACAATTTGGTGGGAGAGCTGCAAAGAGAACCCCCATTTAAGGACTCCTACTTCTGTGCACTATCCACAGAAATGTGCTGCCTCCCAGTGCTGTCTAGATATACCAGGCATCTGTGGAGCTGTATTTTTAGGACTGATATTCTCTTTGTCTGGAACTGGGCCATGAAGATTCACAGTAAGCTCAGGACTGTAAATATCCCTCAGACTTTATGGGAGGAAAACTGGCATAATATCAAAGCAGAAGAAGTACTTTCTTAAATTTCAGTTTTGTTAACTGCTGTCGTACTTGAAAGATTTCCCTGAAAATAAGAAAATACCCAAGAAAATACCAGCTGCAGCATGTTGTAAACAAGCAAAAATTAGAAAGGAGAATTTCTGCAGACTTTGTTATGTTATGGCAACAAGGTCATGTTTTAAAAAGTACAAATCATGGGGGTTTCAGAGCTTTTTCAGACTTAATGATTTGTGCTGGTCATTAAGTCATCAACAAAAAATATTTTCATTTCAGAGTAATACTGTAAATATTTGTTTTGTCCCATCCCATTTTGTTGTAGGGGAAGATCACATATTCCCATGTATTTCCAATGCATAGGCCTTTCTCAGAATTACTCTACCACTATAATGTTCACGCTCTGTAGGTATATCAAAATACTTTTCAAAATGCACAACCTCTTTTTAACATGTTTTTGAAGTGTCTTTGACCTTTGTTGATCCATAGCAAACATGCTTATTCTAAGGTGACATAAAATTATCTGATGCTGAAGTCTTCTGGAAAGGTGAAAAACCTTAAGATGACTGACATCAAGCAGGACATATGTGCCCATTATTTTGTGTGTGTCATGGCAGTCCTCAACATCATGAGGATTAGTTGTCTCCAGCAAGCACATCAGAAATAGTCCTAGAAAAGGTGAGAAAAAATGCAGAGTTCTGCTACATCCTGAGTGATTTCCAAGTGAAGTGCCAGGGGGAATCAGAATAGTGCACTGTCTTTGGTGGGACATTATATAGGTTTGATGAGCATACTTTTGCAATATTATAGGGTTGCAAGGTATAGCAGTTGTTTTGCCTCTAAACTGATGACTCCATGTCCCTCAATCTGCTATTTTCTGTGTGGAAGAATTCTTCCTTGTGAATTAGTGCTCTAAATTAGTTTTTCTGAGACACTGGACCAGTGTGATTAACATTCACTTTGCACAGGAAAGAGCTTGGATAGCTTCTGTATTCATTTTGCTTTTCTCTTCACTCCAGACACTATTCCTTCCACTCAGCAGTCATTCCCATGGATACCATTCGTTCCTGATTAACCCAGGAGAACTTCCCTAAACCATGGCTTGCAGGCAGCATATTTCCTATGAAATCCTCCCACATTGCTTGCAGCCAAAACATTAAAATGTAAAGGAAAGGAAAGGAAGGAAAGGTAAAATTGATCTTGCCTACAGTGTGTTACTTTCTCAGTCTTGTTGCCAGATGATAACAGGCAACTAACAAGTAGTTTGTGTTTCTAGGGAAAAACAGCTTGGTTAATAACATGAAAAAGTCAAGCATCTGAAGAAGTTCCAGGGATATCAGATGAAAATTACAGTCATTCTGCTAACTCTGAGCTATGGGGTTGACATGGGTCTTAATCTGGGTAGCATGTGAAAATGTTGCCAGTGCTGAGAACAATTTTTGCTACAACACGTTATTAATACTTAATGTCTCTGCATTTTATCACTGTGAATATAGGAGGGTAATTAAACTGTTGCTGTAATGTAGAAATTTATGATGGCCTTTCTTTATGGATGTTAAATCAGTAGGCAAGGAGGACAGTATTAAACCACATGGTGCTTTTGGACCACCCACTGTTAATAGCAGTCTTCCCTTCCCTTCCCTTCCCTTCCCTTCCCTTCCCTTCCCTTCCCTTCCCTTCCCTTCCCTTCCCTTCCCTTCCCTTCCCTTCC